TTTTTTTGTGCTTTTTAGTCTTACTTGAAAAACGTGGTTTTTTAGATTAATTTTTTAATCTACTATAATTATTTTATTCTTTTTAAAAAATATTCTTATAATTTTTCTTTTCACAAAAGATTGCATTGTCATCAGTTTCTAAGCTATCCTGAAAGTTTCAGCTTGCTAGCTAGTCGGGAAGTGAGCAAAATTTGAGTTGCAAAATTTGATCTGGACAACCAAACAGACAAGAAAGCGATCAATAAAAACGTGTTAAAATAATTGGAATTTTTCCGGAATATGACTAAGCTGATCAGTCAAGGGTTTTTCCTGCTCATCAGGGACTATATCCTTTTTTCATGTGCACAAAAAGAAACTCGTGATCTATAATTTGGTAAATAAGGTAATCATTTTACCGATTATAATCACGCAATGGTTATCATAATAATTGTGAGGAAAATGAAGAGATGAACTGAGGCATTATATGCATTCCCCCTTCATATTTCAGATGGATTGACGAAGTGTTGACCATGGGCGATGTTTACATTGTGCCTGCGAGGACTGCAGTGGCATTCATGAAAGAACCCATCGACTCAGAACTAGCTAGCGTGGGTGCGGGTCCCCTGTACACTTGCGGTGGCGTGATTCCGAACAGGGATTGCAGACTGGGTCCCCCTTGCGACTATTGCGATCCGACCGGAAAGGGAAGTGCTCGTCTGCCAGCGGAAGTGATCATGGCAGTTTGCGGCAATTGCCCTCCCTGCTTCCCGACCCCGGACGATCCCATCGGGATGGAATGCGCTGGCGAGAACCCGTACCCGAGGTGTCCGGCGAGAGATTGATGACTCTGTTGTTTTCCACCCTCGGTAAAGTGATTTTGATTTCCGGCATTATATTGCTTTGTTTCGGGAAAAAAAGAAGAGTTGCAAACCATCACGCGTGTGCAAGGGTGTAAACGATGAATTCCGCTACACATGTTTCTTCTTTTTTATTACCGTGATCCAGGAAGCCAATGTCACGAATGCTTGGAAATTAAATAATGAGATGGAAATTCACAATGCACAGTAAAATACTGCGCAGCATCCCGACGAACAACCGTCTCGAATAACGACCCACAATCTCTGAGGAGTCCGCAAACGAGTTTAAAGAATGATGTATGTTCGAAAAACGGAAAAAAGAGTTGAAAATTGAGTTTAAACGAAATTATCTTCAGCCTTTTAAGATAGTGGTCTTCGTTCTGAGAAAAACCTAGGCTGTTCAAATGTGGCTACCCCTTTATTGGGAAGTCTGTAAATTGTACAGTATTAAAATCCAAAAAATTGAAGTTGACGTTTCTCTTGGATGTTGAGTAGATACGAAGACTTCGAAATAATACGATTTTATAAGCGGGTTATATACTGTACCAGCTGTACTTCATTTCAGCACGACTCACACAATAAAAAGTAAAATTTTCGGCGTTTCCTGCTCAAGCTATTTTATTCATTTAAAATACTGCACGGAAAAAAGTTCTGAATTTGAAGAAAATTCTCGTAAATTAGTCTGCGGAATGAGTGCATAAATAACTATATAAAGCACTCATATACATCCGGAAATTCACGCTCTTCACAAAAATACATTTCTCGGAGTTTTTCGGTTGTTCTTGAAAATTTGATTCAAGCAAGGCTGAAAAATTATTTGTTACATGGATTTCGATGATATCGTTTTTTTTTTTTAAATGGCCACTCACCTACGTTATTTTTTGTGTTATAAAAACGAGGTTTTTATACGTTTTATTTATTTTTATTCCGATATCGTATAATCACACAAGTTTTTTTCTGACATGGCCTTCTCCTAGACGATTACGGATTTTTAGTAAAACGATTTTATTTTTATTTCCTTAGAGAGCCACACGATCAGCTTTCATCAAGTAAGCGGTATAAAAACATGCACATCAACAATGCCTTTTATATGAATGGAGTGCTGCAGCACGAAATTAAAAACATAAAGTTACCCCGACGATGCTAGATTTCCGATACTTCCGATTATGTGTCCTGATCGCGATTATTGTTTTATTCAATTGAAAAAAAAAAAGATCAGGGAAACATCTGCCAGTACGTGTGTGCATCATGACGACTTGTCTTCCATATATAGTTGAACATTATTTCGAGATCATGAGAGTTTTCATAAACCGCATGACAGACTTAATATATTTGACAGGTGCGAAGCATGGGGCAATCCTATGCACGTTATCTGTGTTTGACGTCCGTGTGCCTTTATATACGAGCGGAACACACACGGGTTCATCGTCTATACCGTATTCGAAACGTTGCAAAGCGCGCAATTATTTCTTCTTCTTTGTTCCCACGCTTTTCCGTCCTTCTTTTTTTTCCTACGAAGTTTTGTTCATTGCAGAAATATTCGACAAGCTAGCGATCAGTTCGAGCAATAATTAAGGCAGTTATTCAGACACCTTTCAACTTCTGATATGGTTTTAACTGGCACAACTTCAAGTAAAAAATCTTGTTTTAAATCCTGTGTGAGCATAATCTTCAACACTTCGGTTTTTTTTTTCAGGCGTTTGCTCGGAAAATACGGTAATTGCGAGAAATGAATATAACAATTTGATGGTGAATAACGCGCTTACGTTCTTGCTTGCAAATTTTAAAAGACCGGAGGAAATCTTGTGAATGGGAAAGCGTGAACTTACTCAGTCGGATATGAATTCATTCTTTTGCTTTTTTTATATTCTTCATCAGCTGAGACTCTGTCCTCTGTCTGGGGACTTGAATTTCGTTTCTGATCGAACTTCGCATTGATAATCGACAGTCATCAGTCTGAGCTCGAACTCGGGGTTTGATTCATTCGTAACCAGACCGGAAGGATTGACTTTTTTTTTTGCGCATAAGCGTAAAAAATACATGGAATTTTTCAGTCAAGTACAGTACAGTAATCCGAACTCACTAAACGGTAACAAAAACAAAGGAAAAAGGTGTAGACACAGTCAGCTACGCTCACGCTCCCGCGTCAACCGAGACTCCCTCGCGGCGTAAGCTAGTGCGCACGAACACAATAAAGCAAGCAAGGAGCTTAACTGTACTCGTTCCCGCTAAATCATTGTGCCTGATGATGCTGTTGAAAAGCGTGATATTCTAAAGTTCACGCCTCTCTTAAGCTTTTACAAACTTTTTATAAGCACAACAGCTTTTTTAAGTTCGGACTTCACTTAATTTTACGTAGGCTGAGTAGTCCACTGAGACTACTTGGACAAAGCGTCACCAAAAAAATTACACGACTAAGACAACGTATTCAGTCTGAAACACTGCGTATCATAAATTATTTTAAACTTTGTTTTTCAATCTGGGGTTTGAGAACCAGAGGATTGTTGGAAAGCACATTATGTATAATAGTGGGTGCAATAATGAATTTTCATGTAAATATTGATAGCTGCATTTTTAAATGGAAATTTTGGTCCCTAATTGGTCAGGAGAGAGTTACAAAACAGATTTTCGTACTTCTGCGCTAGTCTGCAAACAATTCCTCATATACTTTTGCTATTCCCTCGGTGTAACACGTTACTGGACGTAAATATTTGAACACTCAAAGATCAGATAGTCGAATGGAATTTAAAAAAAATACTTCACTAGAATTTCTACAACACCTGATTTTGTATTACACTATTGAAAAAAAAATCCAACGTCGATTTCAATCAGTACTACACAATTAATGATTTCCTTGCTGGAATCTATTGAAAACCAAAATTTCGCACTTAATACTGACGTGTCAATTTTCCGCAGTTGTGTTTGAAAATGAGTGAAAAAGCACCGGAATCCTTTGTTTTCGTGGAAGAAATGAAGTCTTCATCGGACGAAAATACGATGAGTAAGCAGTATACATTTTCTGTGCCTTCTTTGCGGTGCAGCCCGGGTCAGATGTCGACTGTCGACGAGGACATTTGTTCTGAACCCACGCCAGTCGATGTTACTCAGCCACAGGAACCAGATGATCAGTCAAAATTATCAATGCTTCGTCGATTGCCCATGAAAAAGCTGGGTTTTCTGGCTCTGAAAGGAATTTCCAGAGGAAAAGCATTGCGGAAACGAGCGACTTTGCGAGTACCAGCTGCTGATGCGATTCAGCAGAGACCGAGAAGCCCGGTGCCATTAAAAATCCGTGAAAATCAGTGAGTAATTCACGTATATAATAAATGAAAAAATGTCCGCTCTAAAATCCCTGAATACCCTTGCCCGGATGACCAAATATTGATCGTAATCAAATATTCAAGCGCTGAAAAATATCACTAGGAAGGTTGGGGAATTTTCAATAGCAGCGACTCCACTTTTTTCGAAGAAACCGCAAATATCAAATACGTTGTCCCACCAGTATGTAAGAAAACGGCTGAAATTCAATATTTTTTAAATTCTTGGTCGGCACTTTATATACTATTAATGAGTCAGAATTTATAGAAACGGGTTATCAAATCGGCTGCCTCATTAACCAAATATCCACAGATTCCCTCTTTTTCAATGTAAGTGTGAATTCCGCCGAAGTTCAGGTAAGCTCGGAAATTAGCGGTCGAAAAATGGCTTGACGGTTAAATAAAAAGGGGCCGAAGCTGAAAACAATCAATGCCTACAGTATTTATAATTTCTCCCCTGATTTTTTTTCGATAAACGAGAAAATAAATAGGCAATACCAGTAACATTTTGTGTGATTCAATTTTAATACGATCATGTGTTCCCGGAAGCTGGACTTTCCCCGATTATCCATCTCATTCGGAAATGAAAAATTTAAAAGGGGATTTTTGTCAGATATGCATGTCTCATATACAAAGGATAATAAATCCCAACATTCACTCGAAATTAGGTCATCGGAAGTCGATTCCCAGTTTCATCAGCAGATCCTCGTGAAGTTGTATTCAAATGTTGACGCTTTTGGTTGATGCGTGAGTGTCGTCTGACGATTGGCTGTCGACAGTCAACGTACTTGTCAGTGTTGGGTGTACCTTCCCGCGGGACACTGCATTTTTTTCTCGTCACTCCTCGATTAAATGTGTTTCCCTTTTGTTTTCAAGAGAAAAATAACGATGAATTTAGTGTCAGTAGATATTATAAATAATGGAATGGTTTTTATTCCTGAGTTACTGCGAAAACCATCCCGACAGGAAAGGATTTTCCTATAGTTCCGCACGGCGTTGAATATTTTTACGACTGGCGATTTACAACTTTTTAAACAAAAAAAGTTTACACATAGCAGTAGATTTTGTAGATTATTAAACTATAACAAATATTTACACGTTAGCGCGCCTTGATCCTGTTGGGACGCTATAATGAGTATATACGCCTGCACTTAGTAATTGAGGTTACCTTATTTATTTGTTCGCATCATGATTCAATCCTTTGAAAACTGATTTTCTTCTTTCATACGAGATTTAAAAAAAATATTAAAAAATGACTCATTACACTGATTTTCGGCTAATCGCGTTAATAAGCTTGAAAAATTCGTGGAAAATATGTTGCAACTCGAAAACTCGTGAGTTCTTTCAAAATGCTCACCATCATGTCCGTTAAAGAAGTGATGCTCAGTGATTCCAATGACCTGTGCGGAAGTCTTCAGAAGTTTGATTCCGTAGTAAGACTTGGCGAAAAAACCGGGTAAGAAAGGAGAATTCAAAATTTTTTTATTCGTTGAAGTATGTTGAAGTAAACGGTCGTAAAGAAGGAAAAAAATCCTTGCCCGAGAACTTCACGCTTCTTTCTTCATGATCATATGTTCATCTACACTCTACAGCGTATTTCCTTCAAAGCCCTTGGACTTATAGAGTTATTTGATGAAAAAGAAACCGCTTATTGTTGAGCTTCATTTAAACTTTTAAAAGAAAATGTAAAAATCGCGGAAAATAGTGAACTAAACTAAAAGCACCGTACTTAGGCATGCTGAAGCGAGTACAGCGACTTTCTGGAATCTAAATCAGGGATTCCTGTTGTCCATAATTATTTTTTATAGAAGAGAGCTCCGAAAACAGCAAAAGACGCGACAAGAAACAAATGTCAAGCGGTGGTCAAAGTTGGTCCGAGCCTGCAACGCCACAAACTCTCCTACAGATTCACCGGAAGCCTCAGAAAAACTGAGTTTACTAAAACGAGGATTTTCTACAGACGGGTCACCGAGTTCGGATTATACTCTGGAGTCATTCGACGAGCCCTTGATTTGTGTTCAAGTGAGTTTTATTGCTTCAGCAGCGCGAAGTTAATGAAGTTTTCCTAGTTTAGGAGGAGTTGATAAAAATCCATTTTTTCATTTTTAAACCCGATTTTCTGGAGCGAAATTCGCCTTTTTTTTAAGTAAAATATTTGTAGGATATGACTTGATTTACGCTTGATCTGCAAATTTGAATTTTTAGTACCTCTAAAAAATTTGTATGGTACAGTACCTTTCTTCTGGAATTAATTTTGACCGATTTGAAGACATGGGTGACGAATCCAGTATTACAATATTTCAAAACGCTGTAAACGAGTGCGTTTCCCCAGAAATCAAATCTTGCAGGGAGATAAGGTCTTGGCACAATTCACAGAAATTATCTAGAAACACAACCCCACCCTAAAATGATTATCTTTAGAATATCATATGATTCACGTTGGAACTACAATACAAATTTTAAATGCTTATACAGTTCCTCGAGATGTTCGTATCTTTGTTCTAGAAATAAATTCTGCTGATCAAAGACGGGGTAACAGTTCTAATATTTATTTCAATAGATGTGGGAAATGACCGGGTTTCCTGAGAAACACCGTAATATCAGGCTACTAACACTTTATTAAACAATGCACCCACGTTTTGAGTCCTAACCCTGAAAACTCGTCCTGGAAATTCGCACGTCCAGAACAAATAATTTGAAAACGTAATCGTTATATTTTTTTTCTTTTTCAAAAGGCACTCGAAGTGCCATCCCATTCGGCTTTGTCAAACGCCAAGAAAAAGTTGGAAACTTGTTCTCCCGAGTGGTTGAGGGACTTCTTGGAACACGGGGGCTTGAAAAAGCTGTTGTTGCTCATCAACCGCCTGGGGGCGAGACACGCGGTGCCCAAGCACCGGGTTCACACGAGTTTGCACGTCGCATTGCGACAAATCCAGTGTGTGGGATGTTTGCAGACCTTGGCCAATTCTCGCGGGGGATTGCGTTACATCGCCAGCCGACCAGAACACGTGTCCTTGTTTGCAGAGAGTGAGTTTATTTTTACGAGAGTGTGTGCTAAATATTTCCGAGCGAGGCGTTCTTTATTTGCCGATGCTAAATATTCCATGTCCCGCTCATCTCGTCTTTGCGTTTATTCCTTCCGTTTGTTTTTAGTTTTGCTTTCAAATAGTGGGGCCTGAGTTGATATGAACCTGCTACAGTACATCTTGACTAAAAGTTAAAGATTCGAATATTTTATAAACTTAGTTCGATTAGAAGCTACAAACTACAAAAACTTATTTACTGGCTTCAGATATCAAGAAAACTACCTTTCACATTTGATTTTTGATCGTTTACGAGGATTTGCACTTTGAATTCGTAAGTCCTGTAAAAAAAGCAAATTTTACGTTATGCATCAGGTCAACTTCTGATGTTTCTTTCATTTTTGCCATATAGATTTCCATTGGAAGAATAAGCGATTGTGAGAGGGAATTTATTTTGAACAGCCTTTCAAGTATCAAGCATGTGAATAATGATTTAGAAAAGTTAAATCGGATATTTAATGACAGCACCGTCAATCCAGTGAAGATTTGACAATTTTGCCTTTTGTTCTGTGAAAGTAAAAATATAAAATTTGCGCTTATTTGATATCCATATTTGATATGCAAACATTTATTGTTTTCACATAATAACGTTTAGCGTTTGGAATTTTTCTAATTTTTTTTCAATAAATGAATGCTCTCCATAAACGCATGATTATGTGGTTCACGACTACATGCTGATTAAATATGGTGATGGTATTAGTCAACAGTTGTTCAACAAAATAACATAAAATGTATGCTATGAGAAAAAATTGTAAATACGGCCAAGATATTTTAAAGTTTTTATTCTCTTTTTCATAAATTATAAATGGCTGCCAGATTTTCTACATTTTGTTGAACAAGATCTTTTCATACAGTCCGCTATCATCTACAGAGCGAATATTTCATGTCAGCCTCACCCCTTTATTTGGAAAGAAATGCGTCACGTGAGTTATCCATTGTCCGAGATTCATACCATTACACTTGAAAGACAATGGATTAACAATGTGTTTCATTATCCCTCGTTTATCTGCACTGATTTTGTCTTTTCTTTCGTTCGATTTTCAATTATGGATAAAGGCGTCGACTATACGCGCAGCAGAGAGCACAATGAAACCTGCGAGATTAATCGCATCAGCCGTTTCCTCTGGCAATTCATCTCTCGAAATATCCGATTTTATGATTTGAGATTTCATGAATGCATTCCATTTCCTCCAAGGTTTACAGATGAAAACCACACTGGCCCGCAAGCAAATATTCGAGCTTTTTTCCGCCTTATCGCTGTATTCACAAGACGGACACCGGCTGGTTCTCAAAATTCTTGAAGAATATCAGGTGAGTTGTAAAGTGACTAATATGCTTATGCTCATTGCAAGCCCTTGGTTTAATTTATGAATTTGGAATATTTTAATCATTAGTCACCGATTTCGAAGTATTGCTTGACCTATTCCGAATAATAAGAGGAACAACAATTTTTTGTTTGTTACAGAATATCTCCCCGAGTACATTCTTACAGAATTGTTACTTGATGTTGCTTCTTTCAAGATATGACGGGTGATCAATTTTCATGTCCTCCTTTATGAAGGATTTTTTTTTTCTTGGAAATTTGTGGTCACAAAGAACTTCACTTCGAACACTACTGAGTCGGAATCAATCCTCCAGACCGATGAATATCGAGAACGCGAATCGAGCAGAACTTATAAATTTGACGCCTTTTATTTCTTAAGATTGTGATTTTAAGAAATAAAATGTGTCGAGTTTTAAATTTATGCTCGATTCGCGTTCACGTCATTCAACGAAATAATTCGACACATTTAAAGAAATAATTCACTTTCTCGTTATTTATTATATCATCACACCAGTATTTTTATTTCTCAATTGCAGGGTATTTTGAAGAAAGAACATCGGATGCAAGTATTAGTGCAGGAATTAAGCGGAGAGGGAACCCAGGAACTTGATGAAGTTTCTCCAGCGTATTTGGCAACTGTTCTGGGTCTGATAAATTGTCTGATCCGAGGTTCACCTTCGAATGTTCTTGGAAGTAGCCAGGCGTTGCGGGTAGAATTCCAAGGTACGACCCTTTCAGTCTTTCAAAAGCGAAAAAAAAAACTGAGAAATGGCGAGGTTTACTGTGTGGTATCTGCATAAATCATACGGCGAATAAATTTTCCGCGCGGAACAAAAAACATATATAACATTCTGTCGCCATGAGATTCAGCTCTTCCCTCAATTTGACCAAAATGAATTCGAGGCAAATAATGTTGGAAAATTGCCTGGCAACCATAATGTTCGACTCTTCAACATTGTAACCTGACATGGCTGTTCGCAAAAATATTGAGAAATACTTGTGCGAAAGCAGGATGAAGTTTTAAGAGACCAATTTCCAATCCTCGAAAAAAGCACGTTTCACTTTCATTTTCTGTACTATTTAATTTCAAGCTTCCTATTATACAGATACGAATGTTTGAATCATCCTTCACAAAATCGAATAAGCGCCCATGGAATATGTTTCCGTTTTATTGCATGACTTATTCTGAAGATATTACCGCAAAAAAAATAAAAAATTGGCAACTCAGGCAAAAGCTTATTATTTAAATAAAACCATTTAATTATTTATTTAGACGCAGATTTGAAAAAGACTTCGCCGATTTCTAGATCTTTGGATGTGATTTTTGCATGTTTCAAGAATGGGCTTTTTTTCATTACTTGGACTCGTCTGGGAATTATCGACGGTTTTGACAAATAATTCCCCTATTACTTCAATGGGATTTCAGCTGTCGGTCTGGAAAAGGCTCTTGATGCCTTGAAACGTTCGCCTGTTAGTGCCAGAAGCGAGGAACTTGACATTCAGATTAATGCTTATTACGAGCTCAAGGCCGAGGACGAGGCAGAATTACGGGCCCTGGGCATTCCTGTGAACGAAGACTGCAACAGCACTTTTATTAAACTCACTCACAAGGTTGGCATTATAAGATGTTTTCCATGTTTTTTTTCCGAATCCCTGGCGATAAACGAAATCCAACTCAAGTGTTTTTTGTTCGGTTTTTTGGATGTCCTATGATGAAATAGCTGCGCAGCACAACAGGGCAATTTCAGCTTCTGATGCTGCTTTTTCAACTCGAGCGATTGGATTCAAAGGTTCTTTCAAGGTCAGTCAGACTTTAAAAAAATGAATGGTGACATGTTTGAATGATGTACTGTTACTCAAATTTTCTTCACAAGTTCGGAACTTTGGGAAAAGCTTCTTAGTCCGCTACTGAGTTCAGGAGACGCAAGCACGAACTTTTCGTCGAAAGAAGTACAAACAGATTTTGAAGGAACTCGGGTGGACGATTTACTTGGATCTAAAGTCGATTTAGTAAATGAAAAGTAAGTCAAAAGGTTTGAAAAAACGTTTATTCACTATAATCCCCGGAAAAGTAAACAAATGAAAAATCTAAATTCTTATACATCTTTAATTTATAACTACTAACCGTTGAATCAGAAAATTTGCCACTGCATTCGGATTCTATTTTTCAAATAAAATTGGTCGATTTTCTTTCCATCCAGTGCTATCAAGATTCCTGATCAACAAAATGGAAAAATGTCTGGTGAACCTTGCTTTAAAAATTACCTCGTAGGATCTGCACTAAAGAATCTTTCCATTAGAATCTCAAATTCAGAGTTTGATGGCACCTCATCTCTCAAAAACAATGGTGTTGAACACAATGCTTCCAATGGTTCAATGAGGAATGGAATCCCTCCACCTCCACCACCACTACCTTCCATGACTGTGATAGATTTTGGTGCAACGAGAAGTGTGACACTGCCACCACCACCACCACCACCTCCTCCGCCTCTACCACCACTTTCTTTTGTGGCNTCTCAAAATTCTTGAAGAATATCAGGTGAGTTGTAAAGTGACTAATATGCTTATGCTCATTGCAAGCCCTTGGTTTAATTTATGAATTTGGAATATTTTAATCATTAGTCACCGATTTCGAAGTATTGCTTGACCTATTCCGAATAATAAGAGGACGAACAACAATTTTTTGTTTGTTACAGAATATCTCCCCGAGTACATTCTTACAGAATTGTTACTTGATGTTGCTTCTTTCAAGATATGACGGGTGATCAATTTTCGTGTCCTCCTTTAGGAATGAATTTTTGTTGTTGAAATTTGTGGTCACTTCGAACACTTCTGAGTCGGAATCCTCCAGACCGATGAATATAGAGAACGCAAATCGAGCATAACTTATAAACTGGACACATTTTATTTCTTGAAATTGTTATTTTAGGAAATAAAATGTGTCGAGTTTTAAAATTTATGCTAGATTCGCGTTCTCGTTATTCATCGAAATAATTCGACACATTTAAAGAAATAATTCACTTTCTCGTTATTTATTATATCATCATACCAGTATTTTTATTTCTCAATTGCAGGGTATTTTAAAGAAAGAACATCGGATGCAAGTATTAGTGCAGGAATTAAGCGGAGAGGGAACCCAGGAACTTGATGAAGTTTCTCCAGCGTATTTGGCAACTGTTCTGGGTCTGATAAATTGTCTGATCCGAGGTTCACCTTCGAATGTTCTTGGAAGTAGCCAGGCGTTGCGGGTAGAATTCCAAGGTACGACCCTTTCAGTCTCTCAAAAGCGAAAAAAAAACTGAGAAATGGCGAGGTTTACTGTGTGGTATCTGCATAAATCATACGGCGAATAAATTTTCCGCGCGGAACAAAAAACATATATAACATTCTGTCGCCATGAGATTTAGCTCTTACCTCAATTTGACCAAAATGAATTCGTGGCAAATACTGTATTGAAAAAATTGCCTGGCAACGATAATGTTGGACTCTTCAACATTGTAACCTGACATGGCTGTTCGCAAGAATATTGAGAAATACTTGTGCGAAAGCAGGATGAAGTTTTAAGAGACCAATTTCCAATCCTCGAAAAAAGCACGTTTCAATTTCATTTTCTGTACTATTCAATTTCCAGCTTCCTTTTATACAGATACGAATGATTGAATCATCCTTCACAAAATCGAATAAGCGCCCATGGAATATGTTTCCGTTTTATTGCATGACTTATTCTGAAGATATTACCGCAAAAAAAAATAAAAAATTGGAAACTCAGGCAAAAGCTTATTATTTAAATAAAACCATTTAATTATTTATTTAGACGCAGATTTGAAAAAGACTTCGCCGATTTCTAGATCTTTGGATGTGATTTTTGCATGTTTCAAGAATGGGCTTTAAACTCAGGCAAAAGCTTATTATTTAAATAAAACCATTTAATTATTTATTTAGACGCAGATTTGAAAAAGACTTCGCCGATTTCTAGATCTTTGGATGTGATTTTTGCATGTTTCAAGAATGGGCTTTTTTTCATTACTTGGACTCGTCTGGGAATTATCGACGGTTTTGACAAATAATTCCCCTATTACTTCAATGGGATTTCAGCTGTCGGTCTGGAAAAGGCTCTTGATGCCTTGAAACGTTCGCCTGTTAGTGCCAGAAGCGAGGAACTTGACATTCAGATTAATGCTTATTACGAGCTCAAGGCCGAGGACGAGGCAGAATTACGGGCCCTGGGCATTCCTGTGAACGAAGACTGCAACAGCACTTTTATTAAACTCACTCACAAGGTTGGCATTATAAGATGTTTTCCATGTTTTTTTTCCGAATCCCTGGCGATAAACGAAATCCAACTCAAGTGTTTTTTGTTCGGTTTTTTGGATGTCCTATGATGAAATAGCTGCGCAGCACAACAGGGCAATTTCAGCTTCTGATGCTGCTTTTTCAACTCGAGCGATTGGATTCAAAGGTTCTTTCAAGGTCAGTCAGACTTTAAAAAAATGAATGGTGACATGCTTGAATGATGTACTGTTACTCAAATTTTCTTCACAAGCTCGGAACTTTGGGAAAAGCTTCTTAGTCCGCTACTGAGTTCAGGAGACGCAAGCACGAACTTTTCGTCGAAAGAAGTACAAACAGATTTGGAAGGAACTCGGGTTGACGATTTACTTGGATTTAAAGTCGATTCAGTAAATGAAAAGTAAGTCAAAAGATTTGAAAAAACGTTTATTCACTATAATCCCCGGAAAAGTAAACAAATGAAAAATCTAAATTCTTATACATCTTTAATTTATAACTACTAACCGTTGAATCAGAAAATTTGCCACTGCATTCGGATTCTATTTTTCAAATAAAATTGGTCGATTTTCTTTCGTAGGTCACGATAGTTCTAAGGACTAGTTGTTTTACCTTTTTACAGACCACTTGGAACGAAATTTTTAATGGAGCATCCTAGACGTGATTTCTTAGAAAGGTAATCTTAGAGTTTAAGTCTCAAACTTGGCACCTCATCTCTCAAAAACAATGGTGTTGAACACAATGCTTCCAATGGTTCAATGAGGAATGGAATCCCTCCACCTCCACCACCACTACCTTCCATGACTGTGATAGATTTTGGTGCAACGAGAAGTGTGACACTGCCACCACCACCACCACCACCTCCTCCGCCTCTACCACCACTTTCTTTTGTGGCAGCTGGTCCACCTCCTCCTCCACCTCTTCCAGGTAATGCCCTTTACACAGTGGCTTCATTTTATTTGTTGCTTGAAAATTAAAAACAATTACTTGGATCAACGCTGAAATATGTCTAAATAAATTTATCAAAATTAGTAATTAAGTCTGTTACCTTTATCTGAAATTTTGGAATGACAATGGCAGTTGAAATTATCTGATTAAAAATATAATTTGTATTTTCTCATAATAGCCTCGGACACATTTTCACATGCTGAAATAAATTATTTTAATTTTTCATCATGAGAAACCTTTCTTCAAGCCCACTTGTCTGGTTTTTTTTTTAAAGACATTCCAATGCAGCTGCTCCATTGGTTTGCAAAAGAGCAGAAACTTGTTAAGTACCTGCCATAAGTCTGCCAATCATAAATGTTTTGATTCTTGAAACATTTTATGAAACTTTGCCAGTCCGCAGATTTTTTTTTTCTATTTTCCGGTCTGTGGGCCCAAAAAGGTTGGGGAACACTGGCCTAAACAACTTTTAACATTTTTTCTTACAGACTGCTTTTAAATATCTTGAAGATGCTCAATCGCTGCAGACAATCTTTGAATCATTTGTCTCAGCCCTCGTAAGAAAGCACATTTTGCAGCTAGATGTCTTTTAATTATTAATTTCATCATTCTGCATCAGAATCGGGATGTCGTGCAAAATTCAGAGCCCAAGAACATACAATTTAAAAATCTAGACTAATCAACAAAGTCAAACTCCAGAAAAGATTATTTTTTAATCTTCGTACGTACAGAAAAACGACTTTTTGCTGAATGACTACTGACTAGAAAAAAAACGTTAAGACGGCGGTGTACTATTTTTACTTCTTAAAACGTTTGTCTACCCAAATCAGGAGGGTCTTTTAGAATCGGAATCGGGTCGGCGAGTTTCAGTGACCATAATATATGGTCTAACGAAAATATCCCTGCTTGCACGGAAACCCTGGGTTCTGCGATGGGATGGAATGGAATCCTCTGATGAAAAACGTTTCATGGCATTTGTTACCCTGATAAATGTAAATACAGAATTATACCAAACCATTATTTGAAGGAAACAAATTCAATTTTAATATGCATATGTTTCAATGTTATAGCTCAAATCTTTATGTGTATTTGTATCCAATGACTGAAAACAATCTAAATTTCTTGGTTGGATGGTGACAACGTTAGGTTTTGGAGCTGCTCCACCCCCACCTCCACTACCAGGTTCCGTGACAGGAAATGGTCCTATAATGCCTCCTCCACCACCCCCTTTACCCGGCGGAGGTGCTTTCCGGGCACCACCACCACCACCACCCCCTTTCATGGGCATTGGTGCACCATCTTCGTCATCAAAACTTACACAAATTAATCCACCTAAGCCGCAACCGAAATCTAAATTGAAGACGTTGAATTGGATGAAAATGGATCAGCGAGATGTTGGTGAGCTGTTTTCTTTTAAATGACCTCTTATACAGTTACTTAATGAGTAAAAAGTAGTACCTTTACGTCAGCTACCAACAAATACCTTATTAGGCGCGTTGCACTGTTAACTATACCTTTTCGACCTCTTTAATAAGTGGTTAGAACAGTTCGTCTCTGGCACTGAGTCCTCAAGCAGACAAACTGGGACACTGGCGAAATCAAGTCCCGGAAGAAAGCAAGGAATTGCTGCGATGAATTCCCAGGAAAATTCTAAGGTTCCGTAATAAATCAAATTGACAATTTTTCTACGCATCTGGTTTTCCTAAACCAGTTTATCTGGTCACTCTTCAAAGATCGAACTGTTGGATTCGAAGAAAAGCCTGGCAGTCAACATTTTTTTGAGGCAGTTCAAGGTTCCGCCGTCAAAATTGCTAGAAGAGATTTCATCGTGTGACGTTGTTCACCTACAAACTGAGCATTTCCAGAAATTGGCAACCTTTTTGCCGGATTCTGCTGAGGTAAATGACGATTTGATTCAAGTAATTTTAGATCAAAAAGTTTAAATTCCTTTTTTTTTGTCAAGATCGAAATGCTGAAAGCATTTACGGGTCAGAAAGAGATACTCGGAGTAGCTGAGAATTTCCTGCTGTCGATCAGTGAAATGCCGTCGTTTCGACTGCGAATTGACGCCCTGAAAACGGTTCTTTTTAAATCTTGAAAATCCATTCAAATTGGGAGAAATATTCCTCATATTTTGTGATCCGCAGAGATGCAAGTTTGAGGAAGACTGGAGTAGACTGAAATCCCAATTGGAAACGGTCGAAAAAGCCTGCGAAGCAGTTCTTGATGCCAAGAAACTCACACAATTTCTGCTGCTGATTCTCGAAACCGGTAACTACATGAATTCGGTGAGATTTCCTGATGAATTTTCATAAATGTTTACTCGTAATATCCCATATATTTTTTCTCAAGGGAAGTTACGCTGGAAATGCCGCTGGCTTTAAACTGAGCTCGCTGCCGAAATTGACTGAAATCAAGGCGAATTCTGGAAGAATAACGCTTCTGCATTACATTGTGTCCGAGGTCCAAAGACGGGACCCAGGATTGCTGAGTTTTCCAAACGATCTGGAAGTTCTTCACGAAGTTTTGAAGTAAGAAGAAAGTTCATTTTTCAATTTTTTTTTTCGATTCCGAATAAGCTTTCCTCTATTTCTCTGCTGGAATCCTGCATCATTTCCATTAAGAAATTGGTCACCAAAACTTCTTCCGGGCGTGATCAAGTTTTAATGTTTAAACCCTTTGTTCAGAATTCCACTGGAAACCTTGGAATCCGAAGTTGAACAAGTGATCAAAGAAATTCGTGATCTTCAAGGCGGATTAGAGGAATCTCCTGAGCTGAAGCCGATATTCCACAGTAAGTGTCAA